CGGGATGTGACAATTTGGTATCAGAGCCACTCTGCCGTGTGGTGCGAGTGTGCCGACGAGGACGTCGGGCCCTTAAGGGGGGTGGATTGTGAGATCCCACATCGACCAACGGAGAGGGGGTTGATGTGCCTTATATGTGCATGCCCGCATCCATCTAGCACGAGGCCTTTTGGGAGCTCATTGGCTTCGGAGTTGTAGGAACTCCGAAGTTAAGCGAGTTGGGGGCGAGAGCAATCCCAGGATGAGTGACCCATTGGGAGGTTGGTCGTGAGCTCCCAGAAACAAAACCGTGAGGGCCAGAGAGGGGGGGCCCAAAGCGGACAATATCGTGCTACNNNCGGGATGTGACAATTTGGTATCAGAGCCACTCTGCCGTGTGGTGCGAGTGTGCCGACGAGGACGTCGGGCCCTTAAGGGGGGTGGATTGTGAGATCCCACATCGACCAACGGAGAGGGGGTTGATGTGCCTTATATGTGCATGCCCGCATCCATCTAGCACGAGGCCTTTTGGGAGCTCATTGGCTTCGGAGTTGTAGGAACTCCGAAGTTAAGCGAGTTGGGGGCGAGAGCAATCCCAGGATGAGTGACCCATTGGGAGGTTGGTCGTGAGCTCCCAGAAACAAAACCGTGAGGGCCAGAGAGGGGGGGCCCAAAGCGGACAATATCGTGCTACGGCAGAGCCGATCCGAGATGTGACATATAAGAACCCATATTATTTGCATGGCAGTGTGCACGTTCAGGTCCATCTTAGTATATTTTGGTAGATATTTAAGTTGAGTGATAGAATTGGACAAACCTATCTTATTATAAGTTATATGTATTATATTGAAAACTTAGGAATTGAGGCTTAAAATATATATTTGGTAAGAAGCTTGAGGTGGACTTATTAGCATAAGGTGTTGGATCAAGAGTATTGTAGCATGAGGTGGACTTATTTGGTGATAGCCTCAAGTTGTTGTTATCCTATATTGTTGCTGTTTGTGCAATATTCTCTCGGGAGAATATCCGTTTTGTGGATTCTTCAACTTCTAGTCTTCCTTTTCCCTCTTTCTCTATTCTTGTAAAAAAGACCGGAGTAAACAGATCACACCTACGGGGTCCTGTCAAAGACACTTCACTTATCTCTATATTACTTGTTCGGATTGTGCGCTTGCAATAATTTCATAACATGGTGAATTGTGATCTTTCATGACAAAATGTCGTCGGGACAGACCTTTGGCAAATTTTATCTTTCTCAACAAATTTCGCAAGGATATAGATCTTTCCAACAAAATTTCGCCGGGAATACGGCGATCAAAAGAGAATTTTGATCTTTCCAACAAAAGTTCGGCGGGATTGCGGAGGATTATGTTTATCTCATTTTATCTCTTTTACTGCCACTTTCTTTTTAGTGTTTCTTTTTTCCCCCACAAAAACCAAAATTTCCACACGTGATAATCATGCTCGCCTCTCTCCTTGCCACTTTCTTTTTACTGCCTCTTTGTATAACATATATACTTTTGTTTCTGTTTCCCCGGCTAAACATTTGTATAACATATTTAGAGAAGTGCTGGAACTCACAATGTAGTAGATACAAAACAAGCGGAACACAATTGCCGCTGCTATTCGGCAACAAAATCCTACTATTGTTGTTGCATGCATGGAGTGTCCTGTTAGCCGGCTTGGCTATTGGAGTATACTACAATCAAGCTTATAACTCTCAAATTTATAAATTTTTATCTTGGTTTAGTTCCCACCCAAGCTGATCAGGAGTTTCAACGCTTCTCTCTCTCTCTCTCTCTCTCTCTCACCTAACCTAACCCTCCTGTGAGCTCATTGACTCGTTTTTTCTTTCAGGCTTTGGAACATATGGTTTCCAGCTTGAAAATTTGACGGGTTCTAAATATGTAGTTCATTTACAAGGCAAAGTGATGAGGTTCTTTTATTTCTATATCCTTGCAATTTTTTATTTTCTTTGTACACCTTTGTCCAACAGACGAGGAGAAAAGACAGAGGCAGCTGGTTGGATGGTGAAGTGCTTCACTGTGTTGATCATTTTTGCATCCCTGTGGACTTGTCATGACGCAACAGACACACTGAAACAAGGGGACACTCTCAATTCCACAAGTTCCTTATTTTCATCATCAGGGAAGTTCTCTTTGAATTTTACTGTAAGAACTATCGACGGCTCAGGTTCCAGCTTTCTTTCTATCATGCGCATTAAACGTGATGCAAACAAAGCATGGATTGCGAACCCAGACTCACCTATTTCATCCTCCTCTTCCCCACTTCTTACCTTGGACACCAATAACACGTTGAAAATTACTCACCAAGGTGGCGATCCTTTTGTCATTTCCACTGCTCCACAAACTAATGACAGTAGTACTAGTGTTGTGGCTACCCTTTTGGATTCGGGCAACTTCGTCCTGCAAGAAGTGAGCTCTGTCAATAGATCAACGATCCGGGTGTTTTGGCAAAGTTTTGATCATCCACTAGACACATTTTTACCAGGCATGAAATTGGGTGTTGACCATATAAATGGCCACATTTGGTCTCTTTTATCGCGTGGATCTGACAACAACTCGCTGTCCCCAGGGCCTTTCAGCCTTGATTGGGACCCAAATGGACACCAATTGAAAATCAAGAAAGATGGGGTGGTTTATTGGACTAGCGGGGTCTTTTCTGATGGGAGATTTGAATTTATTTTGCCTGATGTGTCCAACAAGAGGTACAATTTTAGCATTGTTTCAAATCAAAATGAAGACTACCTTACTTACACTAGTAAAAATGATCCAAGTGATGCTGAGCCAGAATGGGTTCTAAACCCCGTAGGGGATCTTACAGACTATGGGGCATACGCTGATTATGATATTAAAGAAGTACTGTACTGTGATGGCTATAACATTGTTGGAGGGTGTGTGAAACGGGACCGCCCAAGTGATTGTGTTGAGAAATTTGGTGATGACTTTGAGATCAAAAAAGGTTACTTCAAGATCATCAACTCTAGTAGTATAAATGCTTCAAGACCTGCCAGCTGGTTTGGTACCGATACTATTATTGACTGTAAGGCCGCTTGTTGGGGAGATTGCGACTGCCTTGGATTCGACATATCATTTCTAAATCAGACTGTGGATGCACGATGCGAATTTTGGAGTGTGGACTGTGTGTTCATTGAAGACCTCACTGCCAATATAAGTTTTGTTTTGCAGCCAAAATCATCACCGCATTCACCACCTCAGAAAAAGATCGGTAGGTGTCGCTATGTACTAATCTTTCTAATATATTGAGCTTCTCGTTTTAGAATATGTATTCTAACTAACTATATCTCTAGCTGCAACACCCACACGTAAGTGGTTCTGGATTGGAACTTCTATTGCTGCAGCTCTGGTGGTAATGTGGTTTTGCATCTTGTGCTATCGACTAAGAAGGACAAAACTTATACTGTCAGCAGGTAAATGCTTTGAGCATAATGTGCGCACTTGTTAGCCAAAATTTCTAATCTTTGATCATCGTTGTCCTAACAATTGAAATTTGAACTTTCAAATAGCCAAAATTAAAGGGGCAAAGATTCAGAACGAATTACTTGACTTCATGAAATCTAAGAGACCTACTCATCATGTGAATGGGCTTCAAAATGATGATGGAAACATAAGGCCTCATGATTTAATCGTATTTAGCTATGCATCTGTCTTGGCTGCCACGAAAAACTTCTCAGAAGAAAACAAACTGGGACAAGGGGGCTTTGGACCTGTTTATAAGGTCATTTAAAATTATACAAAGTTTTTCTATTTATATTCTGAATAGCCCAGAAATATATTACGTAGTTCTTTTCTTTTTGAAAAAATTACTAATAAATATGATGGATTAACAATTTAGGGAAACTTGGTTACGGGACAAGAAATAGCTGTGAAGAGGCTCTCAAAATGTTCTGCACAGGGAACATTGGAGTTTAAGAATGAATTGATACTCATATATGAACTTCGACACACAAACCTTGTTCAGCTGTTTGGATTTTGCATCCATGGTGAAGAGAGGATGTTGATATATGAGTACATGCCAAACAAAAGCTTGGACTACCTTTTATTTGGCTGGCAATTAAGGCTCTCAATCACTTTCAGTAAGTTAGTACTTGATTTCTTCTATTCGAATAATGAATCTGACATTTCAAGTTGTTTTCGTTGGCATATTTGGACAGATTCAACCAGATCCATGCTACTTGATTGGAAGAAGCGTTTCAGCATAATAGAAGGAATCGCTCAAGGATTGCTTTACTTGCACAAATACTCAAGAATAAGAGTAATTCACAGAGATTTAAAAGCTAGTAACATATTACTTGATGAAAAGATGAACCCAAAAATTTCTGATTTTGGCATGGCACGAATATTTACAGATAATGAACTTGAAGCAAATACTAATAGGGTTGTTGGAACATAGTAAGTAAACCATACATTCTAAATTTTTATCCCTTTCACCACTTTTATTAGATTGCTAAACCGGCATTATTATATACGTATATGAATATATTTTATTTTCATATGATACAGCGGTTACATGTCTCAAGAGTATGCCATGGAGGGGATTTATTCCATAAAATCCGACGTCTATAGTTTTGGGGTGTTAATGCTTGAAATAATAAGTGGCAGGAGAAATAGTAGCTTCTACAATGCTGATCGCGTGCTCAATATAGTAGGATATGTATGTCTTACAAATCAAATTTACGATTAACATTTTCTTTTTTGAGTTGTGATATATCATATATCATGAATTTTTTGACAACATAAATGAGTGCAATATTTTTTCAGGCATGGGAGTTATGGAAAGGAGGTGCGGGGCTAGAGCTAATGGATCCAACACTAAAGGATTCAGGTACTGAAGAACAATTGCTAAGATGCACCCATGTTGCTCTGTTATGCGTGGAAGACAATGCAGCTGATCGCCCCACCATGTCAGATGTCATATCTATGTTGACCACTGAAAACATTTCATTGCCTTTACCTACAAGGCCAGCATTCTTCACAAGAAGAAACAATGTTGAGACTGATATAATTACATGGAAGTTACAACTTATATCAATAAATGGCTTGTCTAATTCCATGATTGCAGGGCGATAGAGGATTCCTCTGTTAGCTAATTGATATATATCCGGGTGCCTAAGTAAAAATTTGCTTCCATAATTGCTATAGTACTTTCATTTTATCTTTTTTTTTTTCTACAACTATGCCTATTCTCTAAAAACAGTACTAGGCTTGAGCCACTTCAGCCCAAAACGTGGTTCCGCTCTTGAACGTACGGCTGTCAAGGTTTGGTACAGCTTTGGATTCTTGGGTGTCTTGATCAATTGAACTGCTGCTGCTGCTTGGGTCGGGTGTCTAGTCATGCTATTACAATTAACCACTCAGCACACCCACAATGCCATCAGTTTAGTGAACACTTGTTTTATTGTAGGTGTGTTGGGACGTTGGATGAGTGATGCTATCACACAGATCTACAATAGATATATTGGACCCCCTAAATTATTTGAAAACACCTTATATTCATGTTTAGGTTCCAAAATTTGGAAAACGAACGTCTTTAGGGACAAGGGATTTGGGACCACTTTATTTATTTATTTTTAACCTAATGTATTAACAATAGTTTATATACAAATCGTTATATTCACAATAAGTATGTTATAAATAGCGGTATTCGTATATTAATCGCCACAGGCACATATATAATTATAAATCTAAAAATTTCACATAGGTTCATACGGATGGTTATAGGTACACATAATTAAAACATTAAAATGATGGGAAAATTACTGGCTACATTATATGAAAAGGGCATTTTAGGAATATATAAAAATCTCGAACTTGCTGACTCATCATGTAATATAAGGAAATTTGATGGAGTTGAACATCAAGTGAACATACTTAATGCATTAAGATCATTTAATTTGAAACAAACACAACTTACAATCCGGATCTGGACAATAATAGAAATCGCATGACGAAACTCGTGAATTATTTCATCATACTATAAAAATATATGATTCCCAACAATCTACCTTTTCATATATACAATGGAAATCAAAAGTGAACAGGCCGAAAAGAAAAAAAATAGTTAACTCTCAGCAGGCTTGATGAAACAGAAGGCCGAGGAAAACAGAGAGAAGAGAAGGGTTGGAGACTTTGGTGTGAATTTAATATCAAAGGTTGAAACTTGATATAGGATTGGGTGTGGCTAAACATGTTATGTTTTCCTATTTAGATCAGTGCACTAGATACTAAGTTATATAAGGTTTTGATAAGAGTTTACATTAAGTTGTACCTTGAGGCCCAAACCCTTGTGAAATTAGAAAGGGTTTTGAGGCCTATTAAGGGGTCCTATTTATTTCCTTTTATGCGTGAACCGATCTAGTGGGCTTGAAAGATTAGTCAAGTCGGCCCTCGGTGATGAGTAGAGACGACTTGACCTAGCCCTATATAAGCTTAAGGCCCTGCTCTCATCAGACACGTTCTCTAACCTTATTCTCATCATAAAGAGAGAGCTGAAACAGATTCTGAGAGATAGAAGAAGTCTTGAGCCGTTCATGTTCTTACTGGGATTGCTGCTGCTACGGATTGGATGAATTCATAGGTCGTGTACTCAAGGAAGATGGCTCCAAGTATGTCTTTATGTTTATACGTATTTCAGATTGTGTGAAAGATCTTGAACAATGGCGGAACCAGGAATTTTTGTAGGGTTGGGCTAGTATAATTTTTTTTTTCTCTTATGGGAGATATGTTATATTACTTATTTTTCTTAAAACAATTAAGTTCATTCACATACCAAACAAATATAATGCAAAGAAGTACATAATATATGTAAAACATCAAATTAAACACATTGTCAAACATCAAATTAAACACATATTGCCAAACATCCTAATGAAGTAGAACCCTACGCTCCTTGAGTTTCTCAAAATCTGTGATTATTGAATCTGAATCAATATCCATAGAAAGTTCTTTCTCAATGTAGACAATAAGGGAATCTGTCAAATACTCATCCTCCATCTTGTTGCGAAGTACAGTTTTAATATGTTTCATAGCTGAAAACTTTTGGTTGTTTGTGAATAACTTTCTCAATATGTTGAGATGATTTCATTAAATCATCAGCACATCTTACACAAGTGTTATGTGGTGAAGATTGACCTCCAACATGTTGCAAAAATGCACATTTCTTTCCATCATTCACTCTTTTCCAATTATTGAACCCATCAATAATTAGTGAAGACCTATTTGCTGGATTCTTTTCAAACACAAAGCATGGTAAACAATACGCCTTATCTGTTATAGAAGAATACTCTAACCATGGAAATTGTGAGAACCAAGAATATTGAAATCGACGTCTTTGTTGCCCGAACAAAGTCCTTGGATACTCAAAAAGTTTAGGTTGATAAGGCCCTAATTTGATATAAGCCCTTCGAATCTCATCACACTGATTAATGTTGTGCCTGTGGTGATTTTTTTTACTATTTCGAATCTCTTGTTTTTTTTTAAGGGTTGAATGATATGCTATTATGTTATTGTTGTTGTTGCCCTAATTGAATAATCCATTGAATAGCATGTGGGCCTTATTTTAATGATATACTATTATATTCCTTTCCTTTTTTAAAAAAAGAGTGCTGCTATTTCCATCCCCCAGTCCTATTTCCCCACCCACCTTATCTTCCCACCCACCATGTAAATTTGAAAAAACATAATCCTATTTTTACACCCGCACATATATAATTATAAATCTAAAAATTTCACATAGGTTCATACGGATGGTTATATGTACACATAATTAAAACATTAAAATGATGGGAAAATTACTGGCTACATTATATGAAAAGGGCATTTTAGGAATATATAAAAATCTCGAACTTGCTGACTCATCATGTAATATAAGGAAATTTGATGGAGTTGAACATCAAGTGAACATACTTAATGCATTAAGATCATTTAATTTGAAACAAACACAACTTACAATCCGGATCTGGACAATAATAGAAATCGCATGACGAAACTCGTGAATTATTTCATCATACTATAAAAATATATGATTCCCAACAATCTACCTATTCATATATACAATGGAAATCAAAAGTGAACAGGCCGAAAAGAAAAAAAATAGTTAACTCTCAGCAGGCTTGATGAAACAGAAGTCCGAGGAAAACAGAGAGAAGAGAAGGGTTGGAGACTTTGGTGTGAATTTAATATCAAAGGTTGAAACTTGATATAGGATTGGGTGTGGCTAAACATGTTATGTTTTCCTATTTAGATCAGTGCACTAGATACTAAGTTATATAAGGTTTTGATAAGAGTTTACATTAAGTTGTACCTTGAGGCCCAAACCCTTGCGAAATTAGAATTAAGGGGTCCTATTTATTTCCTTTTATGCGTGAACCGATCTAGTTGGCTTGAAAGATTAGTCAAGTCGGCCCTCGGTGATGAGTAGAGACGACTTGACCTAGCCCTATATAAGCTTAAGGCCCTGCTCTCATCAGACACGTTCTCTAACCTTATTCTCATCATAAAGAGAGAGCTGAAACAGATTCTGAGAGATAGCAGAAGTCTTGAGCCGTTCATGTTCTTACTGGGATTGCTGCTGCTACGGATTGGATGAATTCAGAGGTCGTGTACTCAAGGAAGATGGCTCCAAGTATGTCTTTATGTTTATACGTATTTCAGATTGTGTGAAAGATCTTGATTCTTGAACATGTATTAAAGAAATCTAACAAAATCCACCCTTGATCTTGAACATGTATTAAAGAAATCTAACAAAACAAAATCATAATTTATAAACATGATAAGATAAATAAATCATTGAAGTCTTTTCGTTTCCAACTATATGTTTTTGGCATTAATGGATAATAAGAAATAAAAATAAAAAATATAGTATTTTACAAAGTCAACTTTTATTGTTCTATACAACAATAACGAGGAAATTAAGCCAAGCCGGCTGGGAGGAGACCCCCATGCATGACCCAAATTGAGTCAACGACCCTTGCCGAGAGCAACATGCCAACAGCAGAGCAGTACCATATGATATGAGCTAGCTAGCTGCAGGATAATTTTGTAGCCTAACATGAGAAACTAGAATGAAGTGTCGCATAAAATAAATTTGAGTCTCATTAAGCCTGATATTCAGATCGTTAGATCACAATTGTAGCCACTTTTATGTCCAAATCGATCAATTCTTCCTCCGCCGATGCGTGCGTCGAGAGAACTCAATCAGGTTAATATATTCCTATTTCTTGTCTTCATTTCTTCATGATCACTTTCATATATTTGCATGATTTCACATTTTCAATTACCTGAGCATATATATAAAAGTAGAGAGTTGTTTGGTGAACATATCAATAAATTAATATGGCCAGTTCTTTGTTACTTACAGCAGGATAGATAGAATTAAGAACAATGTAGATACAAACAAGCCGCCTTGATTCAAATTTCACATATTAGGCGACAAAATATTATGCTTACAGCTAAACAAAGCTATAATTTATTAATTATAATACCCTCATATATTTTTATGTTGTTGAAATCGTGGGATGGGTCATTGACTCGTTAGGCCATGCATAGGGTCTCCTCCCTCCAAGCCGGCTTGGGTTTCCTTGGTATTGGAGTGAATTACGTACGTACAAGTTGAGTTTTCAATCCTGCATATATTTTATATATGTTCAAGCCAAGACATAGCCCGACAACGAAAAACACTTCAATTTTTATCATGTTTTTAAATCATGATTCTGTTTAGCACCAACCAAATTGATCGTGGACTCTCAAGTTTTTCAATCCTTCACACTAATTCACTCCAACCCTTCTGTCTCTGTTTCTCCCTCTCTCTTCCCAACTATTCTGTGAGATCATTGCAGTTTCATGAAGTAAGCTGAGACTTGAGAGGTATTTTTCTCAGCCTATAATTATCTATCTAACTTTCACTTTGAATGGATCTAACTTTCAAGAATTTTCGTATTGCCTGGTTCTTTTTGTTTTTTGTGGTTTTAAAACATATCATTGATGGGTAATTTTTTAAATACTTAATGAACTAGTGAAAGAGATTTTCTTGGTGTTTTGCATTTTGGGTCAAGAGAAGACTTTATTAGCCGTAAACATAATTAAAGAGGCAAAATACAGAGGAAGAAAGACTAGTTGTCATGATCATCTAGAGAAGGTAAGTACTGTTGGCCTTGTGATCATTCAAGACTTCAGGCTTGATGATGAAGCACACAATTATCTTGATCATTTTTGCAACTTTGTGGACTTGCCATGATGCAATAGACACACTGAAACCAGGGGACACTCTCAATTCCACAAGTTCCTTGGTATCAGCATTAGGCAAGTTCACTTTGAAATTCATTACAAAACCTGTCGGCAATTCTGAAATGAGCTTTCTTGCTATCCTGCGCATCAAAACTGAAGCAAACAAAGCATGGATTGCGAACCCACACTCACCTGTTTTACCCTCTTCATCCCCAATTCTTACCTTGGACTTCAATAACACATTGAAAATTACTCACCAAAATGGACAGCCTTTTATCCTTTCTGCTCCAAACACTACTAGTAGTACTAGTGTTGTGGCTACCCTTTTGGATTCCGGCAATTTTGTCCTTCAAGAAGTGAGCCCTGTCAACGGATCCACGATCCGAATTTTGTGGCAAAGTTTTGATTATCCAATGGACACATTTTTACCAGGCATGAAATTGGGTGTTGACCATATAAATGAGCACGTTTGGTCTCTTTTATCATGGGGGTCTAGAGACAACCCTGTGTCGTCGGGGCCTTTCAGCCTTGATTGGGATACCAATGCACACCAATTGAAAATTAAGAAAAGTGGGGTTATTTATTGGACTAGCGGGGTCTTTGCAGATGGGAGATTTGAATATATTTTGCCTGATGTATCCAAGCAGAGGTACAATTTTAGCATCGTTTCGAATCAAAACGAAGACTACCTCACTTATACTAGTCTAGATGATCCAAATGATCCTGAGCCAGAATGGGTGCTATACACCAGAGGTGCACTTTATGAATATGGTGCCCAAGTTGATATTATACGAGCACAAAACTGTGATGGCTATAACACTGTCGGAGGGTGCGTGAGAAGGGACCGCCCAAGCGATTGTGTTGGGAAATTAGGTGATGATTTTGAGATTAAAAAAGGTTACTTCAAGATCATCAACTCTGCTAATGCTTCGAGACCTGCGAACTGGATTGGTACTGGTACCGAAGATTGTAAAGTTACTTGTTGGCAAAACTGTGACTGCCTTGGATTCGACTTTCCATTTGGAAATCAGACTACTGGTGCAGGATGCCGATTTTGGAGTGTGGACTGTGCATTCATTGAAGACCTCAGTACTGCAACTTATAGTTTTGTTGTGCCAAACTCAGTAACGCTGCCACCAAAATCACCAGATTCACCACCTCGCGGAAAGATTAGTAAGTCAAGCTTTTTACTAATCTTATTAATCTTATTAATTAATCAGCTAGACTTGTTTAACTACCACATCAATAAGCTAATACAAGCTTAACTTACTATATAGAAAATTAATTAAATTTTTTCCTAGATGCAACAGATAAGGGGTTATGGATTGGCACTTCTATTGCCGCTCTACTGGTAATTGGGTTTTGCATTTGCATATTGTGCTATCGACTAAGAGGAACAAAATTTATGCTTTCAGCAGGTAAATTCCTTAAGCATAATGAGAGCAGTTGTTAGAAAATTTCACTTCTTCGATTATTATTGTGCCAAATTGAAGTTTTAACCTTTCAATACCAATTTAAATAGGCAAGAACGGAACAAAGATTCAGAAAAAATTGCTTAAGTTCATGAAATCTGAAAGACCTACTGATCATGTTATTGCGACAGAAAATGATCATGGAAACATTATTAGACACCCTGATTTAAGCATATTTACCTACGAATCTGTCTTGGCTGCCACAAGCAACTTCTCTGAAGCAAACAAGCTCGGCCAAGGGGGCTTTGGTCCTGTTTATAAGGTAAGTCTCTAAATAATATAAAGTGTACATGTTTTCTGTCAAAGGGATATATATATAAAATAGTTTTTTTCTTTTTTGGAATAACTGAGAAATATTTTATGGATTATAAATTCAGGGGAAATTGGCAACAGGACGATAAGTAGCTGTGAAGAGGCTTTCAAAATGTTCAGGACAAGGCACGGTGGAGTTTAAGAATGAATTGATACTTATATATGAACTCGAACATAC